GGCGCGGCGGGGGCGGGGCCTGCGCCATGGCGGCGGGGCCGCCTGGGAGCAGCGCCGAGCTCGGGACCGCGATGGCGCCTCCGGGGCAGCTCCGCAGTGCGTCTGTCCAGCGCTGCGGGAACTCACTGTCCTGGGAGCATCTCCACGGAGACGGCGTTGTGGAGCAGGGCAAAACCGACCCCTTTGGGAGAGGCTGCTCATTCGCTTACCTTCCCCTTACCCTCCCAAGGAACGGCTACATGGATAACATGAAAACACTGCAAGCCAAAAGGAGGGTGGACTCGCTGCACACGCTGAGCAGGAAATGCACAAGCTAACGCCTCCATCACGCACACCAGTGCGCAACSCCGAGCTACCAACCATTCACAAGGAGGATCCAGGGGAGGACAGCAAGCCCCGGCTGTACTATCCGTCTGGCTGTACTTTAACAGCCACCTGCCAAGGTCACACAGGAGCTTCCCGAGCAATCCCATCTTCCCCCAGGCACGCTCTGCGGGACACACAGCTACAAAGCTGTAGTCTGTTTAGCATGTTACACTAAGCACATTAGCGAGTAATTTTCATGCTRTCGTAAATGTTACCTTCTGGCAAAGAGAAAGGTTTTTAGGCTTAGTTTCTGATCTTCACCAATATAAAATGGATGGGCAATAGGAATAGCATACGATCAAAAAACATGCAGACGAGATACTTAGGGACATGGTTTAACAGCCATGGTGGCCACGGGCTTACGACTGGCCTCGATCTCGACAGCCTTTTCCAACCATAATGATTCTATGATCCTATGATGCTATATTGAATGAAACACATTATCTACACCAATCTACACCACAACACATCTGTGCTGATGAGAAGCGGATGTAAAAAAAAAAAAATAAAAAAAAAAAAAACCACTATTTGTGGTTGTCAGAATCTAATAACCAGTACATTTCCAAAAGCTACTCCCTCCCCCCAACCTGTATTACAACTTTGTAATAAAGAAAAGTTTGAGACATTAATCTCGTTTCAAATTCAATAGTACATAATGGAACTTTTGTCTGTGCATCAGCCAAGAGGAACAACAAAGATTACATGGGGAGCTGAATTCAAATGCATCAATATGTTTTGGAGTATTAAATACTTAATTTGTACAATGTATCATCATTAGTTAGCTAATCATGAAAGTCACAGTTGAAGAAAAATCAGGATTTCTCCACATGGCTGACAAACTAATGATCATCTTTTCTGTCTCCTACCTTTAAGGGCAAAACAAACAAAAAGAGGTGTAGATAATGGAATAGAGTTTCATATAGCTTGACTTCCAAAATCAATTTTCAGTTCTATCTAAAAATTAAGCATGGGTTTTAGTGGGAAAAAAAAAAAAAAAAAAACAAAATAAAACAAACGACAACAACAACAAAAAAAGGTTTTGGCCACTTTTATTCTCTCCCTGCCTCCCACCACAGCTCTTTCTTTTCTTCTGTCCTGCCCCTGTCTCTGCAATTCCCCTTAGGGGAATTTGGCATCTTCACACAAGCATGAAGAGACAATAGGTGACAACTATCCTAACAGTAACTTTTCTTCTTGTCTCCTCCTTGCATATATCTTTCTTTCCTCAAATGTTCCATCTCATTTTCATTGCCTAAAGTTGTCAACTCCTAAAATGAAGGAATAACAATAATAATAGTACTGATGGAGGAGAAAGAGCTGAGCATACACTGGCAACACTTTCTAGTATGTAGGCCTAGGAACAGTGGATAGTGATTCAAGGATGTTCCAAATGGCTGCTTTCCTGATTGAAAAGAAACGCATAGGCAAAAGAAATGCCAATAACAATTCTAATCAAAGTGATAAGTAAAGTACACATTAAAACATGAGCCCAGATTAAAAAATATATATGTACACACACACACACACCCATAGTGTTTGATAAGAACAGAGTCTGTCTCAGTGTGCTGTCTTCTCAACTGCTAACAGAAAGATTAGTTTTAAATAAACCAGGACTTGTGACCTTGATGCGCTTCATTGTAATCTTAGAGATACTGATTTCCTAAGTAAGTAGTAGCAAAGTTCAGCATATGTCACAATCTCCACATACGTAAACAGTTTGCTTATTAAGGCATTCACCTCTTCCTCTCTCCGCTGTGAAGATACAACATTAATTTAAGTGATGTAGTTGCTTCTAAAGCAGCACAAAGAATTCTGAGCATGGTTTCAGAAGGGAGTTGGCAGAATGAACATTCTGGAAAAGTCAGTCATTTTTCTGTGTACAAGTTTTTCATGCCTTGGCTATCATAGAATCAAACGAAACGTTATTTACCTCTGGCAACAGCCATGTTGTTGGGAGCTGATAAGTTCACTGAAAGCAGGTTGCGGGTGGATGTACCTGGAGGTTGCACAGGGGATGTGAGCCTAAGGTTAAATTATTACCACTCATAGTTTGTGCATCTCTCTTCCTGTTTTGATTATCTGTTAAACTGTAGATATGGTTTCTCTGAAGTCTTTTCTCCCCTTTCCATTTTCACTGTGCATTTCCTTTAACTCCAGTTTTCATGAAAGTTGTTAAAAACACAGCTTCAAATTCTGCCCAAGCTGCCTCCCACATTGTTTTAAGGCCCTTTCTCTTAATGATGTTACCATGAAAGACTTATATTACTTTTTCTCCCTGTTCACATGATAGCAGGAAAAAAAMCCAATTTTTAATATAACTATTTCACCGTACCTCTACTGTATGTCTTTGGTCCACTTAAATGCACAAGATATAAAAAAGTAAAACAAAACAAAATGCTGAACCTCCCCTCCTCCAAAAAAATATAAATATTCATCCATGCCATGATATCTTAGCATCCTGGGATGCTGAGAAATAGCTATGAAAACTGTAAACTTAGAACGAGCGCATTTGAAAGCAAGAATGGCAGAAGATTGCAGGTGCATGGAGAACTTCCCACTAGTAGCCAGCAGGTAATCACTGCAGAATCTGTAAGAAACTGACATATTTGGGACATGAACTCCTGATCTGTCAAAACATAAACTCTCACCAGAGATTTTCAGAAGGAAATGATTTGGAAGAGATAAGAAAGAAGAACCATCAGGGAAAGCAGAATATCCTGCCTTAAAAGGACAGCAGTTAAAGAATTGATGAGAAGGCCAAATGCTATACACAAAAGAGTTAACACAATGCCCTAAAGGAAATACTAGTCTTCAATTTGCAATTCATCACCTTATTCAGTGGCTATACATTTTTAATTTAAACTTTTTGAATTCAAATAAACACAATGAATATGATAGATCATCTTGAAAGTTTAAACTCATCTCTGTGTAAAATGGAGTGTATGATCTTTCTATAGAATTCAAGTTTCCAATTTGCTCAGAAATAGTATTTAGTATTTCCTTATTCTTGGCCATAAGCTACAAAAATTCTCTTCTTTCCACAAACACCGAAGTTTTTTTGTTTGTTTTTGTTTTTTCATCTTGACACCACTCATGAAGAGATTAAAACTGGTGACGTTGATCAGTCCACTATGACATCTATATTTGACTAGCACATGATCTTAGACTTTCAGGACCTTTATAAGGTATTAAGAAAAGAACATCAGAAATGCTAAGGCATTAAAGTTTACCAAGGCAGTGGTAACTTCAGGTAAAAAGAACATCTGTAGCAAAGACAATCAAATAAAAAAAAATAGTTTACCACAAATACTTGTTCAAGAATCTTTAGCACCGTCTCTGATATTCTTTCCCAGATGGCTAGCTTCTACCAGGGTTATAACCTCAATTTGTTATAAATGCTACTTCAAAGAATATAGTACGTATCTATGAAAAACAAACCAGAGAGCTTAATGTTTCACAAGGTATATCCCTTTATTATTATAATCACAAAAACATGATTTTGTACAGGAATGTGTAAGTGAACATTAATCAATGCAATTAAATTTGTTTCATAAAGACCAGGTAAACATACTACAGAACATTGTATTGTAAAGAACAAAAATATCTGTTTTCTGGCCTTRCAGTGCACATTTTAGTGCAAGTATTAAGACACAATAGTGTTCAATTCAGCAATGTACTGCAGAACGTCATGCCACAGTCCACTTTAGAGAGGGTCAGGACATGCAGCCTGTTAATAAAATGCTGTAGTATATAAAAGAGCCACATGTTAATTCATAAAATATAGAGTGTATTTTGGATGATTTTAAAGTGATTTTACTGTGGAATTTAGTTTTTTATCCAGGACAAACATCCAGAGTATCTTGTTAACTGGAATATTCTTCTTTTATGCGATGGCTTTGGCTTCAGGTAGGAATGCCTCCCAGTATTTTATTAGCTTGGAAATAAGGGAAAAAAAAATCACTGTCAGGTATAGAATTGTGGAAAAGAAAATATATACACCTTCCATTGGTGTGCTGGACTAGTCCTCACTGGACAAAGTAAGAATATGGATGCTTCATATTATCATAAACTTTGTTATACAATGAAAGACAAAAAAAMCACAATTAACAAACGCACAAATTGCTCACAGTACAGAGCTATGGTTACATATTGAGCACTATGTATATCCCATGACAAACTTCGTTTTCCAGTTCAGCTTGCTATTCTCACCTTTAAATGGAAATTATTTTACTGCTATAAGACATTCAGCACATTACATTTTTGTAACTGGAAAAAAAGACTGCTACTTCAGCAAGTTGAAGCACATATTTAATGCAGTTTACTCTCACTTGCAAGTGAAAATAGTGAAGAACTATGTGACAGCAATCACTATGTTCAGCAATATACAACAGACTACAGTCAATTCTCTATGTTTTAGGAACTTAAAGCCCATGTTTTTATATTAACCTAATATGGAACACACTGCAGTATTAACTTCTATAAGGATAGAGAAAACTTTCTCTTACCTGTTGCTGTGTTTGCACTAAAGATTCTAAGTACTTGATAATAACGGTTTTAAAGTCTTTCACTCGTTCCTTCTGTTAATAAATAAAGTAAATTAATTATGGCCGATTAAACTCAAACAATTTTGCTTGGAATGTTATTAATGTAAAATTGCCAGCTGAACATTTATACATGCCTCAAATCTTCCCACTTCTTTGCGAATGGTTTTGGAGATCTGTTCAAAATCTTTTTCSCCTTGTTGAACCTTTGTCTCCCACTGGCAAAAGAAAGACATGCCGAGATAAGGCTTTACATTCTCCATTCAAATTATCAGTATATTTTTAATACAGATACATACACACAAACATATATACACACTATTTATTTTTATTATTATGACTTCCAGTTTGACTTCTCTGCCAGAAGGACTATCATTACATATTCCCAGGTACTGAATTCTATGTCAAAGGCAACAGTAACTTAGYGTCACCCTATTCAAATTGTGAGTTATTAACAACCTTCTGCAAAAACCCAAAGAAGAAAGAATCCTACAGAAGCAATTGTTTTTCACATTAGAAATGAGAAACTGTCACCATATTTTTCCTATAGCTTCAAATATTCAGGAAGTATTTTTGTCAGGAGGTTTCAGCTCACTTCCTGTATGGTGGACAGATAGGTGACATCAAGAGAGCCAACCAACAACAACAAAACGGTCATACAAGAGTGATGACCAACACTCAACTCTTGATGAAACAAGAGTTTCACCAGTCTACAAGGACCCTCGACACTTATGAAAAATATACTAAAGTTAAGAACAAAGCAGCTTGTGGTCAGTGATGAATGAGACAGCCAAATGAAATAATAGCATAACACGGCTTGAAAACTGCAATGACATTCTCCCATTATTTAATGAGAGAATACTGATGCGTAACTAGAATGTATTAATATTAAATATTTAAGTTGTCCTACCTCTTCAATTTCCTTATAGAAGCATGATAGGAAAAGTGTATAAATTATGATACTTCAACATGTTAGTTTTTTTACTGAAATTATACATCTATACATACACACATATATATGGACAGAAATTCATCATCCTTAAGCAAACACGGGAACAGTCCTCCACTAGTCTTTTAGACAGACTTTAGTTTTAGCATCCAAAGGATGAGCCCCTCTACCCAAGTCATCTGTAACAGTTAACAGCATTTTGAAATTTGTCCATATTCCCTTCCTCCCATCTCCCACACTCTGGAGAGACAGATTTCAGCCACCCCGCAGATCTTAGAAGGAATAACAACTATGCACATTTAATTTTTTAAAAATTACTTTTAACAATTTCAGCAAACATGAAAAATATCGAATCAGTGATTTGTAAACAAAAAAATGTATAAAGTAGTGCACTGATGGGGAATGAACCGATGCAAAAAAAAAAAAAAGACAAGACCTCCAGAATAACAGAAATTTGTGATAGCGTTACCTCTTTAATTTCATCTTTAGCTTGCTGYAGTTTATCAGGTTTGTTGGCAAGCTGGAGCTTTGCTTCAGCTTCACGTTTTTTTTGTAAGGTGACCTGAGCATCTTGCCATTTCTGCCAGCATTTCATTCGATGATCAAACACACCCTGTACAGGTGGACAAAGTTATTAACCCRTTGGAACTGTTAAGAGTCCTTTACATTCCAATTAACGGAACACATATTTGGAAAAAGCTGCAAAGACGCTTACCACAAGCGTTTTTGTATTTAATTTGGCAGCATGCTTACATAGCTAAGTACCACCTAACAAAGAGGAGGGGCACTCAGCAAGCCTGTTCAGAGCTGACATCTTAGTGCCCTGTATTGTTTTATTTTTGTTATGTTCCTTGCTCCTTCACAACACTACCAAAGCAACCACTATGAAGTGCTGCATTACACAAATGCTTCTCTAAGTGTAGATTCCATCAAACCTTTTCATTGACTTAATACCTATTTTTGTTAGCAAAGTACGGAGAAAGCAGAATTAAAGTGGGTGTGTGTAATTTTCCCCCAAAATCTGACAAGTTCAAAAATACTATCATGGGGTCCCTAAAYACTGCACAACTAGCATTGTTCTAATTAGAGGATATTCACTGTTGGCATTTTGTCTAGACTCTGTTAACCCATGCCCACTTTTCTCTCACAACCATTTTTATTGTGGGATCAGCAGTGAGGAGTATGGATTCATTTTTATTCTCAGTTGAAATTCAGGCAAAAGCTCAGTAAGTCTTAACTGCATAATTAAGTGTGCAAATACGCAGGAGCACACATTTACGCCAAGTCTCTAAACTAAAGAGTGCATTAAGTGTTACTTTAAGCAAAAATTAACATTATTCCTAGTAGTACTCACTTTGACTGCAGCAATGAGACGAATGTAGTCACCAAGCAGTTCTGAGAACACATAGAAATCAGCAAAAGCTTGTTCTTGATGCAGCTGATCTATCTTCTCCTCAACTTCTGCAAGCTGAGATAGAGCTCTAGACAGAGCAGTGTGGTCCTCAGAGTTGCCTAGCATGGCAGCACTTTTAGCAAAGGCAGCTGTGTTGACTGAAAGCTCTGAAGTACAGGAGAAATACAGAGTAATATATAAAACATATATAGAAGTATGTACTTAATATCTTATGGTACACTTCAATATAGAACAGCTTAAAACCTGTTCTTGAGTAGACCCTCCTGCCCAACAGCAACCTTGACTTTACTAGAGGGAAAAAACACTACAAGCTATATCCCAAAGCTCACGATAAGGCCCATGTACATGACCCACAGAGATCACAATGAAATCACGCCTGGGAGAAAAGTGCACCCAGAATTCCCCAGTATCAGTTAAAAGATTTGCTGAAACTGTTATGTGATGCCTGTCCTGTGTGGYGAGACATAGAAGATACTGTTGCTTTGGTATTATCCAACTGCCACCAAAACAAAAGCCAAGTCACCCACACAGCAAGTTCAAAACACTTAACTCATCTGTAGAATAACTGTCCTATGCAGCTGGAAGAGCAAAGTAGCAAGAAATACTCAATGGGAACATCAACACCACAGTAGAATTTGCTTCCACTCTACTATTTTACCAACTAAACTATCTTAAACTGTCCTGYAATATCTATATCATGTATATAATATATATTAAAAAAATACACATAGCTTGCACACAGCAGGGTGACTAGTATCCAGGAAGTCAAAGTTTTTAAGCTTATTCATTAACAAATACTTAAGATAACTGTTTCATCAAATCGCACTTAAGTTATCCTGTACAATGTTAGCATATACGAAAGACCTTTGAACAAAACAACATATTCAAACTTGCATAAGGATTAGAAGTACAAGTTTATTTGTGACTGTGATGGCTTTGCAGAATCATCAGAACACCAGAAATGTTTGTAGAAGAAAAAAAATTCTGATTCCCAAAACTCACAATTTTAACACAACTCTATAAAATTCTGTTTTTTCACATCTAAAAGCAGATGTCAAATCCATAGTAATCACATTCATTTTCCATATTTCTTTCATCTTAAAAATATTCTTTAACCATGAGGATAGCTGTCTAAAGATGTTTTACTACAAAGAATGATTGCTGGTACAGATTTTAGAAATGAGCTTAAGACATATTAATGCATTTTGAAAGCAGTCTTGAAAGGTAACCACCACAGTTTAAAATTAAGTAGTAGTGCCAGAAGATACATTTATAATCTTCCACAAATACCAAATTAAAGTTTTGATTTTTWAAAAATCATCTGATGGAAAACAACCTTTGACAAAAAGCTGCAAACAACTGAAATATTAATTTTGCAGGTATGTTCTCACTTTGAAATAATGAAATCTAAAGCCAATAATTTAAGACTAGTGACCTATCCAAAAAAAGCTTACTTAAACTCYATCTTTGATGACATAGTGTTACGTGCACTGATGTAAGATTAGCAAATCCCCAATTAAGGGCTTAAACTCAATTAATAGAACAATACCCAACCACAAGATGTTTAAATGGATTTGAGTGGCCACATCTTGTTCAGCATAAAAGTCTCTTGCCATGAGATTTACAGAAACATTTATGGACACGTACTGTAGTTTCATTAGTTTCARTATTAGACTCTTTTAAAAAAACAAACAAAAACCAACCAACCAAACAAAAACTTCTACACTAACCTATATAGGAACTTTCAAGTTCAAGAGAGGGCTGAGAGATATTTGAAATATATATCAAAACATAATATCCACAATGACAGAAGAGTTTAAATTGGAAGGTACAGTTAGGAGATTTTTTGTGTTAAAATCTGACGTAAAACTTTGTTGCTTTAGAGCTCTAGCATTGTTAAGTTCCAGTCTCATTAACATTTTTTAAATCACTGAGCACTTAAATTTACACAGTCAGAAAAATAAATTTACCTTTTCTGTGGCACACTAGTGCTTCGACACTGGTGTGAAGTTTCCTAAGCTGTTGATCCAAATTCTCAAATTGCTGCTGTTTTTCTTCAAACCACTGACAAAAGATGAAAGAGTCAAGTATTACAAATTAGATTACCAGCAGCATTTCTTGTTTTAAAGAAGCAAATTATCCRCATACTGCCAGGGTGGTCAACTGATACAACTAAGAATCCAAGCCAATAAGCAAATTAATATCCCATTTTCCAGTTCTACAGCTTTAAAACGCAATTGTTGAGCCTCATTAATTCATCTCATTATTCAAGTCGAAAAATCAGCTCTTACTGCATCCGATTCATTCATCTTGATTGTCATTTTGTTGACAGCGTCGGCAGCCTTGTTCACCATCCTCAATATTCCTGCTCCACTCAGAGCCTGAGTGTTAACTGCTCTGGGCAGCTAGAATTGAATGACAAATAAGGGCAAACAGACTGGTTAAAAGGCTGGAGGTTTAAGTGGGCACAAGGGGGAAAGAAAAGGATATAGTGTTTTCTTTACTCCTATGTGTTTCAATATACTGGAATCTAATTTCACAGATTTACTACTTTTACATTCTCAGAGGAAAACTTAAAAATACAGACTATTTACTTTTCTTGTACACCTTTACATTTAAATGGAACAAACAACCTACTTGTCAAACATTATTATGAACCAGCTAAGGTCCTAACTAGCCATCTATACATTACAGAGAAACAACTGGCACTATATGAACAGAAAAGCTAACATTTACAATAGGATACAGAAAATTCTATAAATATAATGCAAGATTCACACCATGGATCATTAAAAAAAAAATGACATCTTTACTTTTAAATATAGGCCAGATTTCAAAAACTACTTCTAGAACATTGTATGAGCAGTCAATTTGTAAGGTACCTAGAAGACTTCGTGGTAAGATAAATTTAAATTTAATTGATATTAATCTTTGTTAAAGTCAGTCTGAATATGCGTACAAAACGGCCCCTATGTCAAATCATTTGCCCCTCACATCTGATATTTTGTGTCAGCAGCATTGATAAATCCACTTTAAGTTATCTATCAATGATGCTTTTGTCAGTAGCAGGGCCTCTGTGACTTATTAGTAAAGCTAAAATATTGACATTGGCCAAAAGACAGTGTAGTATTACAGCAAATCCACTATGCACATTCATAAAATGACTGATGCTTTTATACAAGCATAGCAGATGATCTGTTTTGCAATATATTTAATGTTTGTGAAAGGTGCCAGATTGATAGCACTGGTGACTGAAGTCCTCTATCCACAAAACATTTAGCACGGCCAGCAGCACTGCAAGCCTGTTCACATTATCCCACCAGTAAAACAGAAGCTTGACTCCTGGAAGCAAATTCGCTTGGAAAGACCTCTCTTAACACCTAACCTAGCAACAGTAAATGACAACCTTCACTTAGAAGTAGACGGAACAATTAATGTAGTATTAGTAATCACTGAAGAGAAGGTTTTGGTCACTACCAAGTATTTACTACTAGTATTTAAAAGCAGTATGGGCAAAACAGTTTGCAGGTCACTGCCTAAGTAGTCCTCTGCCATTCTGTCCCATGAAGGGTACATTCCAACTTGATTTCATATGAATTTAGAAGACCATRTCTCAATACAAAGAGAACACACTACTTTGCATGTTACCATACYTTAAAACAAATAGGAGAACTTAGAAGAACTTAAATACCTCAGAACTTTCCAAGAACTGCCTTAAATCTGGATCCTGTAACAAGGTGGGGTGTTTTACTGTTCGTTGTAGATACCTATGATTTTAAAAATTAAAATATTAGATAACAAGACAGATTTAATGTGCCTGACAGAATGGAAAGTGTCCTTTATCTGAAGAGTGGATACACTGCAGGCAGCACACAACCTCCCTTCATCATCTGCTGGGGCTTGAACACTCTCTTAAAGCCACCTCTACAGGGTCAGAGGATAGTTCAGTCTCCATGCCCCTTCAATCCTTTGCCTCTCTACTGAGTGTTCAAATCATGCTTATGCATTCTAACACCTTCACCCAACACACAAGTCCTGCAGACAGTCATGAGAGAGGACCAATACACAGTTTAAATATTCACTTTAGACTCAAACCAGTGAGCCCATCACAAAAATCAGAAASTTTTGAGTGAAAATAATGATGCTTTGTTATGCATGGGGCTGCATTATAGCTACAGGTTGCTGGCTRTGGTTTCCAGCATAGCTTGTTTACACCATAAACTTCTTAGGATGAGATCTATAATAAYGATGTCATATGGTATTAAAATATAACAATATATCTGATACTTTAAACACCTTRATGACATCCTCCTAACTCTACTAACAACCCATTTAAGACAGAAAAGACAGAACTTGTTTTAGTATTCTGTACAGTGCAGTGAATAGTGCACGGTTACTTGTTACAACTAATTCTAGATGGCTTACTTTAGATTTACAGGAAGTCTTAGAGAAACTGATCACACTCTAGGTATGCACTGGTTGTTTGCTGCTTAGGCCAAGTCCAACCTCTATTAGTTCTACACAACTCATGCATTCAAAAGTTAAATTAATGCAGCTCCTTCTTTTTCAGATCTGAGCAGAAACACTTAAAAGTCTCAAAATTCTGCAGTACTCACCTCCTATAAACCGCTGTGAGCTTACCACAACTAATCTTAATACTAGGGATTCACRGAGAGTGTCCATTGTGTACAGGAATGCTTTATAGAAACTAAATATCTCAAGAGATTACAAGAAAGTAGGCAATATTGCAAATTAGGATGAACTGACAGAACATTACCAACAGTGTTTTGCAGCTGAGGCTTGAGCAAAACTTAAGCTTTRCAAAACTGCAGTCCCAGAACTGCACCATTACAGTCACAATCACATAGAAACTGCCCTAGGGCACGATGSAGCCTGGGACTCCTAACTGAAAGCACAAGTATTTTCTCCAACATAATTTTATCCATCTCCCACTAGATATGGCCACCATATCCTTATTTTTTTTCCTTAAAGGAGCTAAGGATTGTGGTGAAGTTGTTTCATCCATTAAATTGCTCAATTTTTCCTAGATTGTTTTGACACTCAGTAGCAAGTAAGAACAAGTTAAACTTGACAGTGCAAGCAGCCAAAGAGATTTTTTTTTCAAACTTCTGCTAGAGACTAGCACTTTCTCCAAGGGAGATTACTAACATTTTCACTCGAGACAACTAGAGGTGTGCTTGAGGATACCCAGAAGGCTTGCAGTATTTTAAGTTCCCAGCTCTAGGGCATAAACTTCAGTAAATGCAACTGAAAGTGAGGCTGCGTCTTTTCCCACTTAATCCACAGCTCTCTGTTCAAGGGAGATCAATTTTGAGTTAGATGCTTTTGATCTGAGATACATAAATATGTTCTCCTCAGCTTTATAAAACAGCAACAAATCCACTGCCTTTAAATATCTTTTGAGTATCTGGATATGTAAGCAACATTTTTGTTTGTTTCTGAATGGAAAAGCCAGTTAATGAAAAAATTGTCCCTTGTCAGATAAGATTTTTCATTTGCTTCTGCAAAAGAAAATGAAATATACTGTGAAGCTTTCCCAATATTGCCAAGAGTAGAATTGCCTATTCCCCAGTACAAAAACCATGCTCAGCACCTATCAAAAGTGGTTTATACTTTATTAAAATAACAACAAAAAGAAATGTAGTACTTAAAGCATGTACACAAGTTTGTCAATTAGCTTTTCCTAATTCTAGTTCTGTTCTTCAAACAAGAAATCAAGAGGGAGATTAGTCATCTCTATCACAGAGATATGAAGTTGTGYAGAAATGGCTGTTCAGTTGAGTCCAATTAACTCCAATCCTGGCTGATGCCCCAAGTTTTTGTATCTCATACCACCACTTCTTCAGCAATAGGACTTCTGTATACCCAGGATGTGCTTCAGAATTTTGTTTCAAGAGAAACAATTACTTGAGTAACTTTCGGCTGGAACTTCTAGGTGCCAAGCCATAAGCTATATCCCAATCTTTAGTGACAGGACAATCTATTAGTATTTTGAATATCAATATCAATTCAAATGTTCAGTTGATCCTAATCAACTGCATAATTAACTAACAGAAAGATTAGCAATAAGATTTCAAACTAAGATTATTTCTAGAACTCTAAAATTTTGATAGCTTCATATCTGCTAGGTATGCTCCTTGTCACTCTGAAACCTACTGATTTTTGTTAACTTCCTGTTTAAAAGATTGTTAAATACTACATTGCTGTCATATCATGTAATGGCATCATAATAGCCACATTATGAAATCATATCAAAATTACATTTTTTTTAAATTTGTGCTGTACATTTGACCCAGCTGGTAATGGCCATAAGTCACAGAATTCTTTTTCACTAGTTGTTTTCCAAGGTTTGACTAGCTGTGTCAACAGGAACAGCTGACACTGCTCACTAGTGACAGTACTCCAAACACAGTAGACTCCAGAACAATACTAGCTGTATGCCCGTGTTGGGTGATAATCTGATGTCTCTAGTGTGAAGACTCCACTAGTCACATCAATGCTTTTTAAGTAATCAGAAGGCCAACTTAGTTTCAAATGACTTCTCTGGAGATCTTCCAAACCYGTCTGGATGCCACCCTGTGCCCCGTGCTCTGGTTGTCCCTGCTGGAGCAGGAAGGTTGGACTAGATGAGCTCTAGAGGTCCCTTCCAACCTCAACCATTCTGTGACTTCGCGTGACCTTTACCCTTTGCAACTGTCAATTTTATACAAAACAGATCCACTGCTCAAGTCATTTAGTTACTTAAAACCAAAATGCCTAAATCWGCTGATGAACAAAGATTCACTTACTGAATCCCAGCAATCTCCATGTCAAGAAAGTAACTGTTTGAAAAAGTGTAGGCATAATTCCCCTCACGCATAAGATAAAATGTCCCATATTAAGTGGAAATTATTCCATTTCTAAACAAAATTGAGAAAATATATRAGTTTTTCCAGAACCAACTGGCCCATGCCCCAGCATGTAGCATGTAGCCCATGTAGCATTTCATAAGTCATTCTGAAGCTAAACAAGTTTTAGTTAGATTATATACATTACCTTTCTAGTGCTGCTCTTCTTTTTTCTACAAATTCAGTAGATGAAGAATCCTCCTTGCCTACTTTAACCTTGGTCATGCCTTTGGAGAAAATTGCAGCATACTGTTTCTACATTTTCATAAAGAACCATTAACATAGCTGATATGATTACAAGATAAATTTCATCTATATTTACATATTTAAGTCAAATTATAACAAAAAGCACCACATAGGAATACAAAGAATATGAACACTGCATGTTGCATGCTTCTGCAGAAACAGACCTATCAAATAAGCACTTTTTTGTATGCATTTATTGCAATTCACATTAAAAATTAATTGAATTTTCTTTTACAATCTCAAAGTCAACCTAAAAGATCAGGATTTTATTGGTCATCCATATTCAGGAAAAGAAAACAGTTACCCTAGTAAAATGGAGCAAGACAATAAACCTCTGTTTGTAAGTCTAATGACTGGTATGTTCACAACCAAGAATTTAATTCTAGTAACTTCTAATTTCTGAAACCAAGAGTCTTCATTATTTGTGACAAACAAGGCAGCTCTTAAAAGTTTGAAGCATACTAACATATACAAACTGAATAGAAGAGAAAATCCGCAGAGTGCATTCAACTTTATGTCACATCCTTTGCTCAAGAGGAATAGACAAAGAATCGTGACAATGGAGACAGGGTTGTTTTTGATGTCTCATGGCATGGGAAACATATTCAAACTTAGCAACAGCAGAACTCTTAAAATCTCAGAATGAGAGCATTATCTTTCATGCTAAACACCCAAACTTACAGAGTTAGGAGCCTAAGTCCTACCCATTTCCTGAAGCATGGGGGCAGAAAGTATAATATGATACAGTCCAAGCATCTTTTTTTTTTCCCCTCCCCTCCTGCACTGATTTCCTGCTCTATCGCCTCTGTACCTCAACAAGAAGTTCAGGCTTAAAAAAGCCTGAATATGTACTCTGTGAGTTSTTAAACCAGCAATTTCCCACGTTGCTCCCCTCTCAACAACCTTTGGACATCAGAATTTCACACAGCAACCAAGGAGCAAAAATTACCATTGCAAAAACAAGGAGGGACCTCTACTTCTCAGTGAAGCCTGAGCATTTTCTCCTCTCCATAACAGGAAAGAAATAAATGCCATTGCTATGTTTTTCAAATGTATACTACTGTGTAACATAGCACTAAATCCCTAAATTAATATGTTAAGGCTTTAAAGTATACAAACACACTCTACTTAATTCATATGTCTTTCTATTTTAGCATTAGTGTACTAGTCTTCATTAATATTAAACTGCAGAAAGGATGAAATACTGAAGTTYAATAGATTAGGTACTTCATATATGATGGCAATATAAGTTCACAGGAAAAAGAACTGAAAAAGGCCACCAACTGCTAAGAAGGAGGAATTCCTAACTTCTGATAGTGTCAGCCAATTCTAGATAACATCAGTTTTGTACTCTGCTGATTTACAGTTATTTAAGAGCAAGTGCAAAAGCATCTCTAACACAAGCATCCTACTCCTTCACAAGAAGAAATTCACAACTTAAGCAAATATTTCTTAAAAACAAGAAACAAGACTTTCCAAAATGCAGCAACTAAGTAGTTAGGCAGTTTAGATGAACATTCAACTCTAGCTCACTGCTGACTCTGCATAATACACTTTTCCACAATAAGTAACTCACTATCTTACTTTAGGACTGAATTCCGAAATGCAGTTCTCCCAACTGCCCTAGACCTCCAAAGTTTTTTGAACCTACAGCTACTCCAAACTGAAAAACACAGTTCTTTTCCACAAATTTAAAAGACTATTCTTCCAAGCTTTCTCTTTCATAAAACTACCTAATCTCTCCTTTATTACTTATCTGAAAAGCCGCTTTAATTAGATTTACAGACAAAACTTTTCCAAGAGAAAAAAAAGCTTTTCCAAGTAAAAAAAAAAACAGGATGGCTTTCTAAAGTCCAATCAGTTATTTACATACGAAGCCACAAAGGGAACTGCTTACAACTGCCAATTGCTGTAAGGTTGTTCAGCAGGTTTTATTGTTTTAAACACCTACTAATACTGAAAGAACTACTTTAGAGATCAAAAACTTGCAATTTCAAGTCACTTCAACATCTCAGTCTTGCTTCTCAGCTTGTTCAAAGAATTTATTAAGAGGGATATCATTCAAAAACATTCTGAACTAGACCTTTGAAACTAAGAGTTTCAGTTTTTACGAACAACAAAACAATCAAAAGAAACAAACAACAAAACAATCAAAAGAAACAGACTTAAGTATCAGAGATGCACAGCACATAGGAAGTTCTGTGTGCTACAGGGAACAGATAACAGTACAAGTTAAAAATAAACTTTCGTTTAACATTTTTGTTTTGATAGACTAATCGCTCTTAAGGGGCAACAGTGCAGAAAGAACGACAGATAAGAAACAGAAGGACACACATTAAGACAAATGTCCTTCTTATTATCAGCACTGCTCTGAGTCAGTAAGAGGACAGTACCTTTCCAACTTAAACATAACTTTTTTAGAATACAGAAGGGGAAGTATAAATAATAGTTAAGTCACCTGATAATCAGTATATAAAAGTTATGCAAAACAGTATTTAGTTTACTAACAAAGTCAGTATTAGAATATTTCATTGTTATTGTGGTGCTTAAGTTGCGTGCATACATTCAAGCTTTTTAGACTTACCTACAATACTTTTTTCTGGAGCAGGAGGCACAATGTAACCCACATGCATATACTTTGTTGCTAATTTGCTGTGCAAACCAAGAAAATCACTGAATCTTCTTTTGACAGAGAATTCGTTTTTGTGAAACATGGAAAGAGATGTCTTTAAAAAAGAGAGAGAGAGAATTCATTTTAGTCATGATTTACTAATACATCTACTCAGTTGTTGTATGAAGTTATATTCAAATACTTATGTGCTAGTTACCTTTGTTGTTACTCTGTATGCCATATAAGCATTCATGCCATCCCCTGTAAGAAAATTAAAATACTTATCCTAGAGCAAATTGTATTAGCCTTTCCACATACTTTTTGTTCTGAAATGCACATTAAGCAACTTTGCACTTAGATACTCTAACTGTTCAAAAGATAACCGAACAAGAGGTTACGGTAGAAACCCAGAACAGTCGTCAAGAGGTAAGACTGTCTACCATCTGACTTACCGGGTTGAAGACATGAACTTACCAACTTTCTCTGGGTCCGATACATTGATTTCTATATCAAACAAATCTCCATTTGCTTCCTCTTCAATCTAGAAAAGTACACACCACATTTAACAAGTTCATATGCATTCATATTATCTATAAGTACAAGGGTAGGACTAGAAAATTATAAAGAAGAGTCAGCATGTCTGAATGATCCAATAAAGAAAAAAAAACAAACACAGTACAGATCACTAGTATAACCGCTTAAGCAACAAGTAATGATGCCATTGAAGGAATGAAATCCATATTAAATACTCAGTGCAAAATAAACAGAATATTTCATATGGCTGTTTATCAGTTTATCAAAGAATGATTCTGTGAGTAACAATTTAGCAATTTTTTTTTTAATCATCTAAAAATGTGACATCACATTTTCATGGTAATCAATCCAAAACTTAGAAGTTCACTCAGTACCTCTTCTCTGGATCTATCAAAAATCACAGGTGCCGCTATGCTTTTCGATTCCAGTCTTGGAGCTATTAATGCAGTAGGTGTTACAGGAGTGATTGCAGGCGTCGGTTCTGGAGAGAGTATTGGATCCCTCTCTGGGCTGTCCAGTGATACTTCTTCTGTGGCTTCTAGATAAACATTAAGTTTGCAAAGATGTTTTTGTACAACAGAGATAAATGTGCGTCAAAGATCCCCCCCTCACACACACACAAAAAAGTGTCAATATGCAAGTCTAAAATGATCATCTCCAAACAGCATTTTTTTCCCATATAATTATTATAAATATGGAGCTCACCTACATGCATTATCTGGGTTTCCATTTATAGGTCAAAGGAAAATGTATATATATGTGTACACACACACACACACACACACATACAAATTAAGACTGACAGGTAGAGAGTCTTTTAGAGAATTCATAGTAATGAGTCACTCATTTCTGTAAGCGAAAAATCACAGAAGCCTGTGACATTCTTTTCACCACGCTTACTGTTCTTCATTTCCACATCAATTTTACTTTTTATATTCAATAGCTGATTCAGTTATCTATGCTGAGAATTGAGCATACCAAAAGAATTAAGTTTCTAAGTGAAGTTACCCAACCAAAATATATCCTTCCACTAAAACAATATGATACATCAAATACAAGTATTAGCAAATAAGGCATTCTGACCAGTACAATTAACTTATTTCTACTTTCTTCAAGCTCTTCTGCGGTTAAAGCAGTTTATACAAGGCTAAATAGTTTCTTCAGTCTGTTTTAACAGTATGTAGATCTCTGCACTAAGTAAACGGCATGCTTTCCCAAACTAACTGGTTTTGATGACTGATGGTGAACCACCTCTTGGGTATATAAAAGTTTCTSTTTTAGTCCAAGCAACTAATGTCCTGCTTCTCAATAAATGTACATTTTAAAGACTTTAACTTTTTAAAGATAATATTAACCATAAAACAATCTTGTGATGTGATATTTGATTTCACAACTGTTCACAAGACTTGATACAAGCTCAAGTTCTGGAACTACAACCAAATCCTAAGTTCTTCAGGCAAGTTCAAGCCTCAGACAGTAAAGCAGATGTACTCCAAGTTATATTAAGCTATCAAAACAGTTTACTACACAACTTTCAAAAAAATGCTGTTCTTGCACATCTCCAGTCTACATGAACAGCTCAGTTTTCAAAAGAAAATACGTTAACTTCCTTTTAACCTTTCTAAAGCTTGTTAGCTACGATGAATAGCAAATCCATCCTCCTTCAAGCAAATCCCTGCCAATTCTGAAGATCAGGTCTTCCTTAAAATTTGAGAGACTACTTATGTTATGAAAAAAGCACGTCTCATTTTTGACCCAATATTATCGTGTGCTTCTCCAGAACAGCCTGTCACTTAGTAGTCATCAAAACAGAACTGGAAGTAACATCCTCAGCAAGTGAATCCAATCATTTATTACTCAAGTGTATTACAACCATTCATAATAAATATATAAAATCACTTGGTTTTAGCTCTGCTGCTACTTAAAGATGTTCTGCTAGTCAATTCTGCTTCCCATTTTTATTAAAACACTTTTTGTCAGTCCTTATTTTTTTCATTAGCAAAAGCATTTTTCTTTTTGTCAGGGACAGATAAGATTGTCTGCTTAAACTAAGCCTCATGATCAAGGAAAAAAGCAGAATAAAAACAAATATCAAGGCCAGTATGCCTTTAGCTTTAGGCAGATAAAGGTTGCTTCGTTTAGGGGGGCATATTCATTAGAGAAGGTCATTATTCATTTAGGGATATTTCACAGAATAAGAGAATAGTTAAGGTTAGAAGGGRCTTCTGGAGATCCTCTAGTTCAAACCATACTACTAAAAGCAGAGTCAACTATAGGTTGCTCAGGTCTATATTCCGTGCAATTTTGAGCATTTACTCCACAGCTTCTCTGRGTAACCTGTACCAGTGTTTGACCACCATTGTAGTGAAAAGGTTCCATCTCACATTTAAATGAAATTTCTAGTATTTCAATTTGGCTTTGTCCTGCCACAGGCCACCACTGAGAAGAGTCCTCATTATCCCCCACATCAGATACTTATATAGACTGATGAGATCTCTTCTGAGCCCTCCAGTCTCCAAGCTGAACTGTTTCAGCTCTCTCAGGCTCTCCTCACATGAGGGATGCTCCAGTCCATCAGCTCTATTTGCTCCAGAGTGTCCGTGCACATCTCATACCTTGGATCCCAAAAAAGGGGCACTGGGCTGGACGTGGCACTCTGGATGTTACACCAGTGCTGAGTAGAAGGGAAAAATTACCTCTCTCAATGCACTTGCAACCCTCTTCCTAGTTTTAAATTAGAAATTTCTACAGTATTTTCAAATTAAGCTTAAAAGCAAGCATCTTTTATATTTGTCACTTTTAATATATGTCACTTTTATATATATGTCACTTTTAATATGAATTATCTATGAAATTTTGCTGAAAAGATTTATTTTCTTACCATACATGTTGCTTTACTTCAGTAAAAACTGCTGAATCTTTCTGAAGAAACTTATTGATGACTTCCTATCTCAAATGTCACAGGCAGAACATTGCATCTTAGACCAATAAAGAAGTTTGATTTAATATCTCAGATCAGGTAGGAAAACATGCTGAGACAGTTGTCAGGAAAATTCCAGAATAAAACCTTGGAAGCACAACATCTAAACATGGAAAAGAGGTAGCTCTCTCAATCAGTGGCTAAGAGCATTTAGAGATGTATAAGAAGTTACACAACTGACTATGTAACAAGGAGAGAGTTAAAAAAATAAATAAATAAATAAAGTCATTTTACTTAAATCCTTCCTTTTCCTGTCACCAGCTATTTGCTATGACATAAACCATTATTCACATGCACTCTGCTATGGYAACTTCACATTTCAGACAATGATAAACAAGTCATGAAACAACGTGGACCACGTATTTCTCACAGCTGGAAACAAACAAACAAAACAAAACAAAAACATTCTCTTCTGGAAAAGTGCAATCTATGGAWGCTGAGTGAATTCAATGTTACAAACCTGCGCTGCTATCAGACAAAACAGCAGCACACCTTTCCACTATCCCTCATTTTCAGTCCTACATCTGCACATGCATTACAATATCACACACAGGTATGTTTCAGAGTAGAAGCTAATGTACTTCTAGAAACATTTGAGTTACTCAATTCAGATTTTCAACTAAAACTTCTACATCCAACTTTTAGAAGAAATGTGGGAAGATCAATAGTCACATCAGCAATGGCAGCTATAAACACATAGAGACATTCCCAGATAGCTAATGCCATAAGACATTAACATCTACTGTACAATCCATAAATAGAGTTTGATAGGAGATCACTGTCTTAACTCCAATAGGTCACAAAAAACTCGCAGTCTGCTGCTAATTATGCTTAATTAACACTCGATAGACAATTATATAAAAGTTTCTGTCAACAGCCTTCAACACTTAAGCTTGTGGGTCAATCTCAACAYTGTGTGCCTAGTGTCTCTCTACATCTCACCATTAGTATTCACCAATCATTATCATCATCTCAGGAAGTACAAGTTTCCAATTCATTGCAAGCATCATCACCTGACTTGAATGAGCTATTTTTAACTGATCACACCTACATGCTACAGGTCTCTAACATTCTGACATCATTTGAGTGCTTAAACTGGCTTACTGTCTTCAAAGGTTTACAAAGATAATGGCACAAATTTGGAAGCAAGCTGAACAAGACACTGTTGTTCAAAACAGCAGACGAGTTATTAGAAAGAGGTGGTTTGGCAGGACAATCAAGTTACTTATAAGGCTTCCTTCTGACTTCAAAAATATAGTTTCAAATGCCTTTGTGCATAYATTTCTTTCAGAAGAGACCTCAAATTGAATAAACATTTTGTWAAAGGCAGCCAGGCATCCGTACAGGACTGCTCGGATCGGACACGTCACACGACCCTGCCTGAAGGACACCATTAGCTAGAATTCTTGCTGTTCAATAGGGCTTCAAATAAGGRTTTTGTCTGGTCCACAGAATGAGCATCTCCTTTTCTACATGAACTTCCCAAAAGAAAGGMCTAGTACAAATCTAGTAGGACCTAAAGACCAGAACATAGTAGCTACAAACCTACAAAAGGGGATCCATTCTCATAGCCCTTTAAGAACGGGACATAAAAAAAGCACACAAAAAGTAATCTTTYTATGGATGTGGGGAAATTGTATCTGTGATCTGTCACCAATTTCCGAAAAACAACTTCACAATCTATTCATAATCTACAAGCACCAAAAAATGTAGTTATGTTCTGCACTGTCCATCTATGACACGTTTATTCAGCTGTAGCTACATATAGCACTTTAGATCACCATTTTAGARCAGTCATTTTTGCTCTTATCTTGAGATTAGAAGTTTTCAGTTAGCCAGGTTTTAAGAGTGAACTTTAGTATGGGTGCTCCTGTCCTCAGAAGCTTAGGTTTTTCCTATGCACAGAGAGCCAAATACATCCAAAATGTTCTTAATGTTCCGTGATTTGAAAAAGTGACCAAAGCAGACTCCAAACATAAATGCTCTACAAGATACGAAAACCTCATTTTTTTCCTTTTTTTTTTTTTCTTTTTTCTCTTGCTTGAAATACATACACTGACTTTTATCCTTTAGAAGAAAGTGCTTAGCTATGTTCAGCAACATGTTCATCTGCATTTATTGAGCCAGGAACCACAATACTAATAGAAGGAGTGACAAAGTTCAGTCAAAGATTGTGATTCAGAGGCAAAGAATACCTAGAAGTATTTATTGCAGATGTTATCTGATAGCTGCCACAGAAGCACAGCAGCAAAGCCTAAAAGCTTCAGATCCTGAGTTATATTAMGACAGTACAAGAAATCTTCCACTTTGTTGTTCTTCACCTCCTTTCCCCATTAAGCTATATTATTAAAGTCAATAATGAAAAAGACTTATCAAACTTATATTTGCTAGAGAACAACAGCATATGATTGGTGAATATGATGGGGAGGAAAACCAAAGAAAAAAATACAGTAGGTGTTTTTTTTTTAAACACTGAAATCTTGCTTTCATAGAAAGCAAGGATTATGCAATCACACTGAAGGCAAGTAAACAGTACTCATGCAACCTTCTCACATTACTTCTGCTCATCACAAATCAGTGCAAGAAAGAGCTGAATTAGCAACACTGCCAAGCAAAATAGTGCTAAGGAAGAAAAAAAKTTATCCTTTGAGTATATAGCATGGAAGCATGAAGTAGATTTTGCTTCTGAGAACCTGCATGCTGACAAAGTGCAACAAAGATCAAACTTCGTCACCAGCATAATGCTGCACCACATGAACTTCCTGTTTAGAATTCCCATTCTAAAGTGTGAGAGATTTTTCTGGGTTGTTCTTCCTATTCAGAGTATATTAGCCTTCATCTGTGTATGAAATGACCTTCTAAAAATGGCTTTCAGTTGTATTAAACCTCCTATTTGTTACTGCTGCAACTGGATGCTTCTTGCCTTTAAGATAATGTCTTTGGTAGTAAAACTCAGGCTCTTTAAATCTGTTCTGGAAGCATGTTTTCTCACAGCATTCATTTCAGTTGCAACAATCTGGCTGCTAACATTTGTCACTTCTGTCTGCAGCCTATCAATATTTACTCTAGGCATCTTTTATTCTTAATTTAATATTTTCCAGCCAACGGAGAATTGGATTTCCTGAAACATTCTTTCCAGATGGCTCTATGGCTACAAAAAGCTGCCTTTACATATTAAAGCTATATAGCAAATTATTAGTACAAGWAAGATTTGTTTTTCAAGTGCTTCCCATCTTCTTTYCTGTGAGGGTGACCAAGCCCTGGAATAGGGTGCCCAGGGAGGCTGTGGAGTCTCCTTCTCTGGAGGTCTTCAAAACCCACCTGGATGTCACCCTGTGCCCCGGGCTCTGGGTGTGCCTGCTTGAGCGGGAAGGTTGGACTAGATGAGCTCTAGAGGTCCCTTCCAACCTTGAATATTCTGTGATTCTATGATCCTGTGATCTATGTGAGTCATAAGATCAGGTAATAAACACAAAACTACTAGAATTATCACTGAAGTGTTTATTCTGCAGTTTTCTTAAGCCTGTTCCAGAGAGCTAATAAATTAATCAATASATCCCAATAGTGTCATAATCAAATATACATACACACCTACCTATATAAAACAACCTAAAACTAATGGCTACAAAGTTCAGTATGAAATGGTTATATTAGGGAACCAACGAAGATGGAACTAGGACTGTATGCAAAGCAGACTGTCAACTGATACAATAAATAGTAATAGCRTTAGTACTGGAGAAAAAGCATTTAGAACTATCTCTTCAAACGTATAAGATATTCCAACATTATACTTACTTCCTTGAATTACAAATGTTCCCGTAACTGTAAAATGAACCATTGTCTATGCTTAAGGGACTAGAGCATCTCTCATGCAAGGAAAGACAGAAGCTGAGACAGTTTGGCCCGGGGAAGGGAAGGCTCAAGGGAGACTTTAACAGCGCATAATAAATATCTGATGGGAAGGTATAGGGAGAATGGGACCAGCCTTTTCTTGGTGGCAAATGGTGACAGAACAAGAGGCAAAACAAACACGGGAACACTTGAACACAACRAAACAAACACAAGAAAATAGTTCCTAACTATGCAGGTGGTTGAATGATGGCACAAATTGCCCAGAAAAGCTGTTAAGTCTCCATCCTTGGAGATATTCATAGCCCAGCTGGACATGGTCTTGGGCAACCTGCACTGGTTGTTCCTGCTTGAACAGAGCAGGTTGGAGCAGATGATCTCCAGAGTTCCCTGCCAACTCCAGCTGTTCTGTGATTCTGTGACTATTCTGCAAGAAATGGATTGCAGAAAATGGACAAATTAGTGACCAACTGATGAAGAATTGGAAACGTTTATTGACTGCCGAACTGACTGCAAAATTTTCATGCAGCTTTCTCCAAAACATATTTCATAGTGAGGTATCACAGAAAGAATCTCATACTCATGAAATGAAAGGACTGACCTCATAGGCCATCTTCTCATCTTTTTATTGTAATAAAAAGGCCCTGTAATAAATGGAAATACTCTCCACCTTGCAATATAGCCTCAATTATCCTTCTGCAGAAGTAGGAAATGGGCTGGGCAGCTTAAATGAGGTTATAAAGTATGAAACAAAGTTTTTAACTTTCTTCATGCTTTTGAAATAAACACAAACTTAAATACTGGTAATTACATAACAAGAAATGCTGCACCGCTGTCTGCGGAACAAATTACTAGCTAGCTACCTCTACAGCACTGTAACAGCAAATACAACAAGGTACCTGCATTTGGGGAAAAAAATAATAACAATTAAAGCTATAGCATACTACAAGGAAAAAAAAAATCCTATATTCCACTGTTAAAGTTCTTAAGAAGATTTAATTTTACCTCTCTTTCAAACAAGCTTCTCAAAGTTCCATTAATTCAGTATGTAAGACAGATCAACTCCAAAAAGGTCTGCTACAAAAATGTTCTTTGTTGTGAGTGTGATAGAAGTGTTTACTCCTGAGACAAGACACAAACTCGCAGAGGAATAGCTTAATTTTTAATTTACTAGTGAAAGCTAAGTAAACCTTACCTACTCCTAGAAACAAATTATGTATCACTATTTTCAAAAACCAGCAAGATTAAATCTTCTGTTTTATGAGTTCACATTAAAAAGACCACACTCATTTTGACAAAAAACAGTCAATAGTTACACACATTAAAAATGGCTTAACAAACAACTTTGGGCAACAAAGAACTTCAGCTGTTTTCCCTTTTCAGTATGTTACCTTTCTTGCAAATTTTCAAGTTGATAAACTTGACAATATGTTGCAGTAGACATAGGAATCTAGGCGACAGCTAAACCCAATAGAGAATGATTTGCAAACGCTACCCCAAAACCCAAAGAAAAACTTTAAATGACTTTTCCAGAAAGTATAACTTGCAAATTAGGCAACAACTAAGATTTTCTACAATTTTTAAATTGTAAAGAATTAAAATTGAAGTCTCTATTTTTCAGGGTACTGCTCCCTATTTCCTTACATCAAATAAAATGACAGCATGAAATGTTTTCTTCTACTTCCCAGAAAAACACTTTCCTTTATGTCTAAAGGAAAATAGTCTACTTAGACACAATCAAAAGAAAAAAGCAGTTACCAGCAAAGAGGTCTTCTCTATCATCATCTAACATCATTTCAGCTGGCTTTGGACCATTAGAGTTTGTGCTGAGATCTTCTGCAGGAAGACTTGCTGGCTCTGGAGAGGAAGGGCTTGACTGTTTAGGTGGAGGAAAACAAATAAAAAAATAAATCAGCGGAGAACCAGTTGCCTTGTGTCAGTATGTAAGGATTATTGCAGCAAGCATTCCTTCATTGCAGAGAAACAAAGCGAAATGCACAGAAAGGAAACCCTGTCAGCTATTTCCATTTCCTACTGGGATAACAATGAACAAAGGATTCATCAGTCTACAGCTCTCCTCATTCCTTTAACATGTTTAATTAACATGAAGCAAAAACTGCTAGAGAAGTATCTAGAAAACGTGTATGAGTATTTTTGAGTGCTGTTTGATTAAGTTCGTTTTGGAAAAGCTTACATTTATAAAAGCTTACATTTTGTTTAGTATTCTTTTCTATGTACAAAAGCAGATTTCAAGTGTTCCATATAATTTTTTTTCAGAGATTAACAAGTTAATTACATTGAAAGAACAAGCCAACACTGCCTGCAACTACAAGAAATTTTGAAGTCAGGAAGCGGGCTGCCCAAAACATTACTGGACAGTAGCTTTGCAACAGCTCAAATTTGGACATTATTATCACTCTGGGTAACAATATGCAAAAATGGAAGTTATCATCAACATGCATACAAATTGAATTAATTTTAATTAACTGAAGATGAGAACTTGTCCTGCGAAGAAAGAAATACACAAAGACACTGAGAAAAACAAAAGCACAACTGAAGTTAGAGTACTGAAGCACAGCTTTCTCACTAAATGAGCATATATCTAACTGAAGTGCTTTAGTATGCAAGTTCTTGCTGAATCAGTGTCAACTCTGGTTATTTCAGAGTACTTCAAAATTTGCAAGACTCATTTCCCGCAACTTCCMCCAAGACGGCTAGCCAAGGGATTTTCAAGAAAAGCGTACTTAAGCAAAAAGAAAGACATCTGCCTTAGAAGGGGCATCACTAYTGACTTCCTAGTGTTTTGCATAAAATTGTCATAATTTAAAGTTAAAAACAGAATTCAGAAGAAAGGCTTTTTTTCTGGGCAACAATTCAATAGATGTAACGAGGACAAAAGAAAAGAAAAAGCCTGAAAAAAAAACACTGAAAAAAAACACTGAAAAAAAACTACAAAGAAATTGTAATACGGACATGACTGCATCTATACTGCATGGTCCATGAAAGCAGCAGAGAAAACAGAGGGAGACCTTCCTTATATCAGGTTCTCCAAGAACAGTGTACTTGCTGGCATGAAGCACAGCAGTGCTGCTGTACTTGAAGATCACCACCTAAGTGTAAATCCCAACCTCAGCTACTCAAAATCCCAGTCAGAGGGATACAAATACACTACAAAACAGTTATTCATAAGCTGTATGAAACTGAAACTCTCTCCACTTGGAAAAGTGTTACTGAAATAATTCTTTCCCTGCTGAAAACGCAAGAAAGCTAAAAGCAGACAGRAGAATAACAGAAAACTCTATTCTGAATCAACATGAAACAGATTAAGATTGCAACAAGCAAATGCTCCTTTCAAACAGACAGAAGTTATACCCCACTGTATTTCCAAAACCACCAATCTCTGAAAAACTCTGATACAACATCATCAAAAACATTTTAAAAAGGGAGAGGGAGAGGGAGAGGGAGGGGGAGGGGGAGAGGGAGGGGGAGGGGGAGAGGGAAAAAGCTATATACTATAAGTCACAACAGGCTGCAGCTTCTTCTTAGATATTGCCACAGAACCTGCAAAGAAAGAAACACTGGAGAACTACATGTAGGTAGCATAGTTTATATGCTTACAAGCAACAGATATATCTGATACGTGTATACTTCTGATACTATGACAAATCAACACCAGCATTATCCTATGGTAGGAAGAGGAAGAAGTAATGAAGTTACATTTGCTTATTCCACAAAGTAGGACTTCAAGCTGCACTATACAATGCAAGTAATTTAGAAGAAATTAAATAGTAAATTTAAACAAAACTATGCACAACTCGCCATGCTTCACTGTTCTACAAACAACAGTATAGAGAGTATGCATCACATGTAAAGGTTAGCAGCTTAAAGTGATTTGGGAGCTCAGGAAGCAGCATGTTCTCCGAGAAAAAGGATCTTTCTACACAATACTGCACAAAGCTCTTAATTTTGTATGTCAGATGGAAAAAAAGGACATGTTTCCAGCATGGAAAAGTTATCTCTCCATGAATTTCAGGGAGTTTAAAGTTTTATCAACAAAAACATTTTTTTTTTTAACATCATAGGTCACTCCTTTCGAATCATTTCAGTTGTTGCTCAGCTTTGGTAACTACCTACTGAGATCCTGATAGATGTGAGTTTTGGTGCCGAGTGAACAACCTAGCACTAACACAGAGTGAGGATGACACAYACTTCATGCTTCACCTCTATGAGAAACAGCTGTAAAACAGCCAGGCACAGCAAATAAAAGCTTTCCCAAACAACTGCTACACACAGCAGATGGCTTCAGGTTCTAAGTGTTAGTAGGATTACATTTGCTATTACTAAATTGTGAGAGATTCTGTCCTTGACACTATTCAAGAAAACCCTGTATTTGCACAAAATATTAAGCTTTGCAGCTTTAGCTTGAGTATCAATTACATGGGACTTCAACAGTATTTCATATACCCTGTTGTAATGAAGTGAAACTAGAGAATACTCACAAAACAAGAGGCAAGAATGAACATTAGGGGTACCTCAGAAAGCTCAAGGAACATAACAGCAGCATGAACAAGCTTTAACTTTTAAACAAGGCACAAGGTCCAGAGGTGATTCTTTCCCAGTAAGACAGATAACCTGTTTATCTGTAACTTACTATATAAGAAATTTATACTTGTTATATGCATTGAGCTCTGTTACTATGAATAGCAGATATGAAAGTTTCTTTTTGCGGATTATTTACAGAAAACATCTTTCCTTTAAAAATATTTTTCAGCKGAATAAGCTATTTCCTGGACTATTAACCATTCAGTGGCATGTTAGTATCTTGTAACAAATGTTGTTCTGAGGCAAATAAATAAAAAATGTGGATAAATATCTTTGCATACAGTTAGGACTTTCTTTGCAGGAAAAACCTGCAACAACTTAGAACAAGTATCTTCAAAACACACAGCTTTTCTCAGTGAACTAGGAGGACAAAGTCATTCTCCTGAAAGCATCAGGAACTGCTGTCAATGATTCCTTTTTTTATTATTAGCATTTTATAGGACCAGTAGACAACAGAGCACTGTTCAGTCTCTCCAATAAAAGGAACACCCATAACAGCATTAACATATTAAGTTATTCTAGTTACATTCTGCTCCATGTGCAAGATRGAGTAAGGAAAAATATCTGCTCCCCTAGCACAGCAAAGAAGAGTTAACACATCTACAGAAGCAGAGCAGCTAAGGTCATCTAACAGAAACACAACAGTGAAAGAACAGACTACCAGACAAGAGATGGAGGAGATCAACCATGAAAAACAACCTCAGGGCCTAGACAGCCACATGTGCAGGACAACTGTTTAGAACATTTAAACTTATGTGACTCAAGGATTTACAAAAAGTCACAAAGTTGTCCACTTCTTGAAAGGTACATGGCTTACAAAGCTTCTGAGAGACTCCTGAGCAGAAAGTAACTCAGAGGGAGCATTCAACCAAGACATCCAACGGTCAGTATACACGTGAGACACACAGGATCCTGTTCTACTTGTTTTCTAGAAAATGAGTTACTGGACACGCATCTGAAGGGCCCATTCCAGTGTGCACTGGCAATAATTTTTCCTCCTGTATTGTTAATTACAGTTGGTGACAATAATCATGTATTTTAATAGCCTTGAYTTATGAAGGCACAAGAACAAGTTCACACACCTTTTGTTGGCTGAAATAATAGCTTTCATTGTTTGGACATCCTCTCTTCTTGTAATAGGAGGGGTCCCCAGCCCAGCCAGTTGAGCTACATGCCTGAACTCCTCCTGCCGCTTTCAGCTGGAACAGGGCAGGCTGACAAAACGCACATTGCTCCCAGCCCCCTGAGCCAGCCTAGATCACTGTGACTGAAACAGCGGACAGAGGCCCACAGAATGCCACAGGAGCAGAGAGAACAAGGCAGTGCAGTGATGTTTGCAGCAGAAGGTGAGAGGACACTAGCAACCTCAAAAGGATCGATTATTTTATGTTTCTGTTAATATCTGTATTTAACACTGAACTGACAGGGAGGTGTACTTCCAGCAGAATTATATCAGTCAGTCATGCACATTGACTTAGTTTTCTGCAAAGTTTTAACACAGCATTGAAAGGCTTCATGTTTTAATACCAAGTATTTTGACRGGATCATTAACACCTTCCCCATAATTTTCAATTTCTTGTTAAATCCAGTTCAGACATAAACTATAAAGTTTATAGTCCTATATATACTGAACTCCTCTAACAGTCTATCCAATGTCTCGCCTTCTGTGGAAGAATCAAGATTATATTTTAGTCATGTTTAGGCCAATGACATAAGCAGTTACACTTGCAATAAAATTGCACAGTATATTCTACATACACACCTGCCTTAAATGACAGTCCTTGATAAATTACCATATCTATATCTATTGCTTGCTCATTGTTTTCAAGTGACTCCATATATTCTTCCATTAAAGGGGAGGGAAAAAGTATAAAAAAMACTGGAAATGAGTAGATGGCAACTCAGCTACAGGTTCCCAAGGGAGCCGCTTTGCAGAAGAGGGAGACATTCAGTAAYTGAATTCATAACATCTACTTAGGGAAAGATGAAGAAAGAAGTGCCATAATGGAGACAACAGATATACAATGAAACAGATGGCAGAAAAACACAGCAAGAGAGCAGCAGGGACTTAGACTGTGCAACGAGGAAAGAGAAGTGACAAAATAAGAATACCACACATACTATTTTTCAGAATAATCCCAAGGATGCTTTKTTTTTCCCACACATGTCACCACAAGAGTGACTTTCATACAATTGCTTGCTGTCTCTTCTGATAGTGGCAGAGGACATAGACAGCAAAGTAGTAATCTGTGGACAAAAAACTGTAGAGATTTATCTTCTTTGTAACATCACCTGCACTTGGATTTAAGACACCTGAAAACTTAGCMATCAGGAAATCCCTTGAAGATTATTAATAATATAATGCAACCTATAGCTCCTCAAGTCACCAAATGGCAAAATGCTGGTAATCAGGATAGAAATCCATATAAGTTCCAGCACATACACATATATAATCATCAATAAAGGCCTTCCTATGGCCTCTGTTGACTTCCACCAAAAACAAGAACTCAGTCTACAGAGACTATTTGTCTGATTGTGTCTGGTTGTTCTTACCTATGAATGCCAGTACAGCAGCTGCCAAAGACTGTTCTCTTTAAGTGGAGAAGCTCCATGAAAGGTTTCAATACAGCTGACACAAAATAACCTTGAAAAACATTTTAGTACTTGTAGGCACTGTAGGTACCTGAAGAGGAAATCAGCACCCTGGTAGATCAGAGGAGCTACTTTACGCACTAAGTTTTCCAAGACTTTATTTTCAGAAGGTGAAAGTTCAGCTGTTTCCATCCACGACAACTCCTTTCCACTGTACCACAGAAATTACAAAGTTACAGGGAAGAGCATCAAATCTTAACGTCTTATATTCTAGAATTAAGAAGAAATCTAATTCAAGATATTAACTTTTAATATATGCTCATGGGAAGTGAGACTCAGCTTCTTTCTCTCTATATGCAAAGAATTCAGCTTGAAATAAGTTACGCTCTTCCTATTAAAGAGGAASAACTGAAGTCAGTTAGCTTCTTTAGAAACAACATTTAAGCATTCTGATATTTTTATTGTTCATAATATATATGAATTTTATGTTTTACTGAAACAAACTTACAAAATAAATGATAATATAAGCGAAGACTTTGTTACTTTGAAGCTATTTGGAAGAACTATTTGCACCTTTACTGCTTTTAATGCTGCTTTGTCAAATTACAAGTAAGAAGGGACAGCTTCTTAAAAACAGAGAAAAAAAAAAAAAAAAGAAAGAGCAGAAATTAATCACACAAAACTCAAAGGAGCAGCTCCAAGGTCAAAACAGTTATGAACCCTTTCAAAGCCCCATAAACCAAACACAACCTGGCTTTAGACCTCACTGTCTTCCACATCGCCATGCCCTTCTCTCTGTTACCAGCTAGTAGTGCATACAATCAACCATGAAGAGCGCTACGTCCTCTCTGCTTTTAATGTAACTTCAATTGCGACTTATAAACGAGTACTTCATGAATATTTACAAACTAGAAGAGCACTTAAATACAGAAGTTTAATTAGGTCCACACCATGACATTAACATTCTCTGGGCTAGGGTGGATTTCTCTTAAGTGTGTTACACCTACACTAACTAGTGTCAACTAGAAGTTTAAACTCAATTTTCATGACCCCTTCCTTCCGGATTTGCTAGAACAAGGTTCTTTCCTAAGCACTCTTTGATTAAAAGTCAGGAAAACCTTTACTGACAGAAGTTCTTCAGAGTTTATCTTTAAACAAAGTGCCTTTCCCTTTCAACTTTCTTCTGATTGTGTTGATTATAAAAACAAAGCAGAACAGAACTGTCAACAAAACACTTGAAATACAGAAATATACAGATATAGAGAGAGTGCATCTCTTTGCCTGTTTCTCCAGTTTTAAGATTTTCAGTGACTATTTTTTTAAATATTCAGAGGAAGATTTTTCAATGTTAGATTGTGGTTTAGGCAATAATTCTACTGTATGTCTTGAGGTTTTAATTCTAAACCACATCAGTAAAGAAATGACTTGTTTTACTGCAGTTTTGCTTAGCAGTACAAGATACAAACTGTACACACACATGTACAGAGGTCTATTAAAGCAGCTATTAACTGTAAGTTCATAAATCACATCATYTGTTATCCCATTACTGTATTTTCCACAGTTTTTTGGGTTTTTTTCCTAGTAATGAATAGATCATAGTTCTATAAAAAGAAAAAAAAAGATCTTTTAAGTGATTGCAGAGGAGGCAAGTGCCTTTAACACACATTTAAGAGCCTCTTTTATCTTTTTTTTTTTTTTTTTTTTAAGGACAGGCAACAACCACAACAAAACAAAGAAACATACACTGATCCTATTACTGTAAAGGTCAAGGGCAGGAAACTCTTCAGGAAAAGGACAGCAGGAACAATTTTCTTTTTAAAAGGTTAAAAGGATCACTGTGTACAGGGAAAATGAAGTTTTTCCATAAGGGACTGGCATGAGTGAGATGTGACCACAACCTAAARAGCTTCCACCTTAATTAGTGCAAACACTTCCAGCAGTAGGAAGTATTTACACATGCAGTTGTGCTGTTCTTTTTTATTAAATGGCCACAAGAGAAAGCAGGAGTGTTTTACGTATTTAGTAGATTTGTTTAGATCTTTCAGACTGATTTCTCCAAACAAACAAACGCAGGTTTCACAGCCTCTTGCATGAATGTCTCCGTTCAGCTATCCATAATCGCCACTTGCTCATAGAAGCGGCTGATGTTACAGCACTCTCCTCAAAAAAAAAAAAGAAAAAGAAAAAGAAAGAAAAAAAGAAAAAAGAAAAACCACCTCTGCAAGAGCAGAAAAGCAGCTGTTCAACAGCGATAGACTGTGTTATTTTACAGCTGAGCACTGCGCTAACTGTGACAGGGAACGGTCCGGGGAGCACTAAGTTTTCAGAAGTTTCAGCGAGCTGCAAGGGCGCGAAGCCCCGGGGCAGGCAAAGCACAGGGGCTATTCCCGCCCGGCACGGCGGCGGGGAGCAGCCCCGGGGGAGCGGCGCCCCGCACACACGGAGCCTGCGGTGCCTTCCGGGCGGCCAGCGGGGTGAGCGGCACGCGCGGCCGCCGGGACAGGGCCGCGCCCCGGCGCTCCCGGCTCCCCGCGCCGCTGCGGGGGTCGCTCGGGGGAGCACCGGCCCGGCGGGGCACCGGGGGATGAGGCGGCGGGCCCGGCAGCGGCCGCTCGCAGAGGAGGCCCCGTACGAGAGGGCCGGAGGCCGTGCCGGGCGCCCCGCGGGGGACGGCGGAGCGACGACTTGAGGGGGAACCTGTCGCGGCGGGGGTCGGGGGGGACAGCTGGGGTGACAGCTGGGGTAACGGCYGGGGTAACGGCCGGGGTAACGGCCGGGGCAGCAGCCGTGACAGGGGGCGGGAAGCGGCAGGAGCGAGAGGGGGCGGCGCAGCCGGGCGCTCACCTCGAGCGTGGACACGGTGCTGGTGAAGAGGTCCTCGCCGTCCTCCAGCTCCTCCGGCTCGCCCGGCCGCGCCTCCCCCAGCGGCGGGGGCTCCCTCTCCGCCGCCATCTTCCCTCCGGCCCGCGCCGCCAGCACCACCCCCCCGCGCCCGCCGCCAGCACCGCCCCGCGTCACGTGACGCGCGCAGAACGCCCCGCCCCCGCGCCGCACGTGACGCGCGGGGCGGGCAGCGGGGTGGGCGGGGCCGAGAGGCGGTGGGGGGCGGGAGTGGTGTCGTAGCCCCTCCCCCCGCCGCTGCCCGTTTCCAGCAACGGATAAAACGTTTGGGAACGGCCGGTTTTGTTCAAGTGCGGCTAGAATTGTGTCCATACAGGGCTCTTCTCGTGCCTACCAGAGAGCTGGCTGCTGCCCTGCCCCCGCCCTTTGCCCTGCTTCCTTACATAGCCGGCTCTTCCTCGCACCAGCCGTTGGCGAGGCAAGGGCAACGTCCATGTGCTATGGCAGCCCCCCGAGGCGCTTTGGAACCAGCGTTTTCATTATTTGAACGGAAGTTCCTATCACAGCCTTTCAATTATGATTTTTTTTTTCTACTAGCAGGTTACATTCCTAGTTAAGATTGAATCTTTGTTGGAGGCTGAGGAGCAGCGCTGCTCTTGCCATGTAGTSAAATGACTAGGTCCAGTAATACAAACACTGAAGTATTTCTCACGTAAAGTATTAGTAGGCACACTTTCTAAGTTGCTCTTYCTAAATTTCTTTTTTACATGTGACTTAGCTCATATTCTCCCACAAATTTAAGGCATAATACTCACCTAAAAGGGATGAAAAATACCAATACTGTTGAGTCAATAGGCATGAGCTAATATACCTGTACTTGATCTGAACTGCTACAGTTGTTCTTGCAATACTGAAGGAAAGTTTCAGAAAAAAAAATCTTTTGAGCTTTTTTTTTTTTTTTTTTTCATATAGCTTTCATTCAGCGTGGTCATGATTTGCGAGGTCTTTGTTAGTATTTGCTGTTTTAAAGTTAATTTCTAAATGGTGACCCATGGAGAGTAGKAAGAACAAGTTGCCTCCTCAGGCTGTCAACCCTTCTGGGGCAAGGGCTGCGTCCCTCCAGTGCTCGCCCAGTGCCAAATAAAGACTAAAAGGAAAGGATGGAGTCATACTTACTCTTTTCTTTCAGCTTCTTCCCAATCACATCATGTGAAAGTCATAAAGATATAAATAGAAAATCATGTTGGCTTGAAAATGTGGAAATGCCATGCATAATTTTATCTCTACTGCTGAGTCTGGAGATGGAAGACAATGTTAGGGAGAGAGGGCTCTGCCTTAGGCGAGGCTGACGGCTGATTTAGGGACCTGTCCTTCACTCCTCTTGTGGTGCCCTAGGGAAAGATCCAGCCACAGAGCTTAGCAGAATAGGTTTAAGTGCAATCTTAAAATCTGCCACTTAAGAGCTAAATTTGTGCTGAAGTTTAGGGACTCCAAATTGCCCATGGTAAGTAGCAAGTTACCCAATAAAGAAGAGTTATGATGCTTGAAAGTCAAAAAAAAAAAATAAGGGACAATCTATCTCCTTTGACTAATAGATGTAGATGGACAAGAAACAGGGAAGGTTTGCAGTATTTCCTCAGGTCTGAAGACGTTGTCTAATAATTAATAAAAGACTTATCTTCAGACTTATAGTGTTACAATAACACTGCTACTGGAAGATTATTAGATAGCTTGCCTATCATTCATCAGGCGTGGCACTACTTTTCAGTTTCTTGGGAAAGGGACTTCTTCCAGGATGGTATTTCCTTTCTCTTCACAAAGGAATAGTATTGAAGCTTAGGTTGTTCATAGTAGGTATGGTGTGAATTAAGCTACTCACATTTTTACTCCACTCCTCAAACAGCCAATTTCTCTTTATTATATCTCTGAATATTGATTCTGAGAGCTCATTTTTAAATAATAAAAAGAAGATAGAGAAAGAAAAAGTATTCTACATACACTTTAAGTATGATTCCTTGGCCTCTACAGTTTTGTTGGTTACTTACTGCTTTTTCAGCTTTTGTTGTTGCTGTTTCGCTATTCTACTTCTGAAAGCTTCTCAAATAACTAGTATGTGCACGTTTTATCTAGAAATGATGTTTCAACTACTTTGAGAATAATTTTTACCCTTTGACCTTAATTTAAATATTTCCCCATAATTTCTTTTCCTGTGATCAGAAAGATGATATAACATACATTATATACTTTCAATACCTACCAAGTATACTCACCTAGCATATTGTTTAGATGTTTAGTGCATTTGTCTGGTTATAACAAACTAATACGATGCTGGATRGTGTTCTGACTTCATTAAGATTCACACCGTCGTCTCCAGTGTTCATATGGCCAGACTATTAATTAGTTCTCTGAAATACCTTGAAGTAGCCATCTATCATAGCAAATGAATATGCTGTTGAGGCAGAATGAAGTTAAAAACAGACAAGATTTCAAATGCAGAATTATTTTTTCACTTATTAATACAAGTTTAACTTCTTTGATTCAAAGCAGAATTTTATTTATGATTTGTTTTGTTTCCTACTTTTCCAATGCTTTTGAGATGTGTGGCCCAACCCTGATGCCACAGAAGTCTATAACAGACATTTGTTGTGACAAAGAGGATAAGAAATCAGTACAAAAGTAACTACAGGACCTGGATTTTTAATGAACTGGGAGTCAGTGTGGATCCTGGATTACACCAGTGGTGTGTATTATATCAGTGTAAATCTGGGTGTAGAAAATAATCCAAAATAGAGAAAAAGCAATGGCAAAGGGTGGAGGGGGAACCATAAATTCTGAAAGAAAAATTAGGATGATTGCACAAGCTGATCACATTGAAATTGTGATGTGTGGCTGAAAATAAGTAAATAAATAAAGCCTCATCCCAATCACCATGAAAGTTATCRTGTGTACCACACAATAAAAATGTGATAGATGTCAACTCTATCTCATACTACCATGTCAGGGTCTGAAGGAGAGGAGACAGATCTACCTCCTAGCTAAAGGAAACTATGGCCACCCCTTCATTTGCACCCACTAGATCCACTTCTGTAATACTATGTGGAAAGAATATTAATCTTGCAAAGTCAAGAACTAAAAAGGTAGGAAATGCCAACACCAGATTTATCCATGCAATTTCTTGCAACCCTTTATGTATATGGAGCGTACTTGCTTTAATTACATGGTTACATATTAAGTTTTCTATAGGAGCCTTCTTCCCAAGGAACATTGATTGAACAACTATTGACTTTTTTTTTTCTTATGATACAACATTTAGCTCCATTTTTTTTTTACTGTATGCTGTTCCAGTCCTACTCTGAAGACAAAATGATTCATTTCCTCACAAGCTTTTCTCCAATGCTCATCACTACAGAATCCAAGAATTCCCCAGGCACTAATGAATTTGTCTTCAGAATATTCCTGTGGGAGTGTGTTGCCCATTTTACAGGCAGCGAGCAGAGTCTGAGTGAGTAAAACCGTAGGTAATTTTTGTGCCCAACTTGAGGSAACTAGGATTTGGCTTTTTCTAGAATTCTTAACATTTGAACAGTCTCTTCACCTAAGCAGCCTGCTGCAATGTGCCAGTACTAGCTTTGTCCAACACTTTTCTTCCTTTATTTCCCTATTCTCTTCCTTTCCTCCTTTTGTAAGCCCTTTACAGATCTGATACTTCTTGACAGGCTGGGAGAAAAACTGAGAACCCTTAAGAAAAAAAAAGCATTTTCAAATTTTGACCTACAACCAGTACTTCCAAACCGGTAGCATCAAAACCAGAAAACTTAGGCTGTACCTCTCCTGCTCCTGCCTCGTGCATCTGAGGCTGTGTCCGACACTCAGAGGAGATAGCAAGGTAAAAAGGTGTTCTGCATAAACACTCTGGGAGTTGCTATGTGCTAAAAAAGACTCCTTTTATCATGCAGAAAGATTTCTTCCAGGATTATGATTGTATCAGTTTGAAATGACTTTACACAAGTTCGATAAAAAGAWAAAAACAGCAGTATCAAGGTTATATTTCAGTTTCCTAATTCAAACACAGAGGTGCTGACACATTCACATAGTTGTAAGATTTTTTTTGTGCATCTTGCATTTTGTGCATTTTTTTTTTTTTAATTATCTACAGTCAGAAAATGTTTTCCTAATGTCTCAACTCCATTTCTGTCCTCATATTTATACATACCCATATGACTTTGTAGCAACAAAGCACTGTTAGGACTCATTTCAGAACGGACACTGGCCTCATTTTGTACTTGCAGGGAAGGATATTCTTTTTATCACAGCTTACAGAGTTTTAAAATCATAGAATAAAATCATAGAGTAGAATCATTGTGGTTGGAAAAGAGCTTCAAAATCATAGAGTCCAATGGTAAGCCCTTAACCATCATGTCTGTTAACCCATCCCATCTTAGTTTACGCGCTTCATCTACACCTTGACCAGTGCTGGGAATGGTGACTCCACCACTTCCCTGGGCAGCCTGTTCCCAGCTTCACCTCTCTTYCCATGMAGAAATTCTTCCTAATGTCTAATCTGAACCTCCCCTAGTGCAGCTTTAGGCCGTGTTCTCTTGTTCTGTCTGCTGTGATTCTGGAGAAGAGATCAACCCCCGCCKCACTACAACCTCCTTTCAGGTAGTTGACAGTAGTTGTTTTGCTCCAGACTATTACAACCATTTTGAATTCTGCTATGCTACAACTATTTGATATCATAATATGCATTCTTCCCATTACATCATAAATAAGAAGATAAAATCTTACCAGATCTAGCACAGACTACTGTGGACTTCCATTCAGTACATCCTTCCATTTAAAAGATAATTGCTGAYAAATAGTCTTGGAGTTTGTTTCTTAACCAGTTTTGTACCTACTCTATGTAAGATTACGATACAATATTTTATTAGCTTGCTTTTGAAAATGTCAAAGATAAATATTTAAAGAATATTGAAGCAGTATTTCCTTAATAAGAAATACTGAAAGAAAATGGCCACGTGAAGTAGGGCAAAAACCATGACTTGATTCRGAGCACATAAATTTTCAAGATTTGATTCTCCCCATTTAGAAAATACTAAAAAGGAATAATATTCTATTGCACAGTG